AGGAATTGACCAATCACGTTTTGATACATCACTGACAATAAATAGAAAGTAACTAGGATTCAGTCAGTTGTTAAAAATTAGTAGTAGCTCTATAGCAGGGCTCTTTACTGAAAGAGTCACTACTATGAAGTACAGTTTATGTGTGTAATCTAGAACGTCCAAAAAATGTTAATGTGCGCTAACATACTGTTAGAAATCCCATATGGATGGTAGCAGGAATTAGCATTGTCGTAGTGATGTATTTTTTTTTTTTTATTTATTGACCACGTTTGGCCCAAACTAAAGGCCTAGCTCTAATAGTTGTGGTTCACAGCTGGTAATAATTATTGTAGCAAGGCCATTTTAGGATAATGCTGCATGAAAAGTGAAGAGATTTTGTCCTGTTCTGTGCTGGGTTTTAATGGTAGGAGGTAGATGTCACCTCTCTCTTTAAGTGCCCTGGGTGTGATACCTACTATTTTTTTTTCCAGTCCTACGCCTTTCTATTTCTTTAAACAACCATTTCTCTGCCCGCTGTCCCTCTCACTGGCCTCCCTGGCACAATGACAGATGCTCTTCTAAAACGCCATTAGTAATGAAGGCTAAGTACCCCCACCCCCATCCATCTGTCCTGCTCCACCCAGAGACCAGCCTGACCAATGCAGTAGTATTGATCGGCTTCTTTCCAACCCTTATTGCTCGCTCTATCTCTCCCTCCCTATCTCACACACATGTACACACACCCTCTAAGACTCTTTGCCTCACTAAGTGGAAAAACAATTGGCTCATAAAAAGCAACTAGAGAAAAAAGAGGCGCATTTGCACTAGTTAGAAGGATTGGCCTGCCTGTGTTTGTGCTGGTGTAGGGTGAGCGCAGATAAGTGTAAGGGTTCATTAATCTGAATTTTTAAATAACAAAAGCAGCCTAAAACACTTTCCTTGTGTGTAATTTTAGTTGTAGTCTAAACACCATGCGTTTTCCAATTTGCTGTGTCTGGAAAATGAAAGCGTTTGAAGTTTGTTTCGCTGTGCTTTAATTATATCTGTGCCTGGGCAGGCAAAAGGAGATTTTTGTTTAGTCACGGCTGTTTAGGGAGAATAAGGTTCTCATTAAAGTGATGGCCAGTTACATAAATGAGCATTTGTATGTTGGTATATTTAAGTCAAAAGTAGGGCCTTCAGTATCTGCTATTTCTTACATGAATAATCATGTAATCAGAGTTTTAAAAGAACACCAAACAATGAAAATGGACTTAAGTGAACAATAGCAAAACGTACATGGCCTTTCAAAGACTTAAAAAATACTTTACTGCACATTTAAGGAATGCATAGAAATTAATTCTTCTGTCAGGCTTTGTGGATCAGTAGGAGAATGTATATACATTATCATCAAACAAATTGGTGATGAATCACCATGAATTCATTGCATCAGGTAATTTTTTAGTTGATGAGATGTTTTTATGTAGTGTAATTGTGATATCCCTTGTTAAAGGGGAATTCCACTGATTTTGTTTTCTGTATTTTTTACATAATTTAGTCTTTGAGATGCAAACAACGTGTTTTAATCCATTGTAAAGACTTTCTTTGCAGTGGTGGTGACAGGAACCAGGTGTTACAATGTCTATAACACAAATATAGTCATTTCTATATTTTAAAAATGATGTTTTAGGTCAAAACATTGTCTAATTATTAACTATTGTAAAACATGTGGGTGAGATTTTTGTGTGGTCATCAAGCAGCACATTCACAGAAAGTGTAACAGCTTTCTGTGATGTAGCTTTTGCTTTACTTTATGTTTATTTCACATGGACAATACACATTAATCAGTATCATTAATTCATAATGTAAATGTGGGAGATTTAGTCGAAGAGCTAATTTTATATGTTGACCTGCCGGTTGATGTTGATATTTAAAGGCATTAATGCTTCTCACTTGTTCATATCAGAACTGCTGTAAACAATTCTGAATTGATATATTACTCTAGAACGGCTTGCCCCTCTCATGTTTATCTTCTTAACAGTTTATTTGCACAGAACAAAAAAAAAAAACGGAATTTCTCTTTATCTAAATAAAAACTTACTATACATGACCTTTCACAGATGCTGAAATATTTCAATGCACATTTAAGATATCTATATAAAAACATTGAATGGCAAAAAAAAAAGCAATAGGTTCATCCCTTAAGCTCTATGTTTTACTGTAAGAGAGATCAGTTGGAGGATTTATGTGCATTATCATATAGTCCTATAACGAAGTGTCAAAATCTAATACTAATTTCTAAATAATTGGTAATAAATAAATGGTAATAAAAATGAGAAACAGTGATAAAAATTTAATGACAAAAATTGCGAATAAAAAATGATAGTGCTCATTACCTAGAGTGACCAAATCTTTTCTATTGTCAGGGACACTGTTTTTTTGTACTTACTTATTGCCTTGTATTTTTTATGTTTATTATGTATTTTTTTGGTTATCACGTATTCAAAAGCTTTCTTTTTAGCCAGGAATTTTTATTTTGGTGCGTCTCTGATTATCATACAAATTTACAGCGAATCTCTAGCAGTTCAATGAAGTGAGAGTGTGTTTCGATACCCCTGGTTAAAAACAGCAAAAGAGGTTGCAGTCTGACAGTAATTCATGAGATTTGAGTTGAGAAAATGGAATCAGTGATTTAGTAGTTTGGAGTTCTGTTGATTGCTGAGGCCATGAGAGCATGTGTGCATCAGCGTGATTGGCCCGGGAAGCTTAGAGCAGTGATGGGAAATGATGATGGAGCTTGCCTTCGATATATAGTAATCATCAGCACAAGGACGCTGTAGTACACACACACACACACACACACACACGTGTGCATTGAGCTCTCCCTATTTCCATCCCTCTCTTGCCTGCTGTGTCCCACTCAGGCTTGAGGCAGTGGAAAGTTGTATCGACTAGTTTTGTCAGGATTTTTTCCCTCTGTCCTTTATGTTCACCTCTTGCGATGTACCAAACCGACCAAACCTGTCCCACTGGTAGAACACCATTATGTTGCTCTTGCTCATTTGTGCTGACTCACCTAACTGGTCTATGCAGTTATAGCCAGGGCAGCTTATCGTTGAACTTGACTCTACCTGTCAGGCAGGAAATTATCGTAATGGAAAAGCAGTTGTGCTTCTTCAGCTACATCTCTGTTCACTCCCTCTGCATTCAAGCCCAAGTTGTACTGCTGATGTATTTATGACAACAAATGTAACAAATCGTCCCTCTGAGGCCCAGCACAGGGCCTGCCACAGTGATGTATTATCCATACGTTTGGCGGTGCGGGAGTGCTCCACATGCAGCTGAGTAGGAGGAGAGCAGAGCCTCCACTATTAATAGCTCAATGCAGTGGCCTGTAGGGTTGGCCAATCTGCAGCAAGCCTGTGGCCAGAGCACTGGGAAGGGCTTTTAGAGTGCCCAAGTCACCCACAAATTTATGAGAACTGCCTGGATTCTTCTGTAAATGGCTGGGCCTGAGGGAGAAAGAATGTTTTCTTTTGTAAATATTATCCCAGACTCAGAGGCGCTCTCTGCTGTGGCTATAGAATAGCACTATTTATCTTCTGTATGGTTGAAGCAACACCTTTATCAGTCATGGTCACAGGTTCTAGAGAGGCATTGTAGCCTTTTTTGCCAGAGTTCCAACCTTTATTAAATATCTTTTAAAATCGTAATATCTATACCAATTTGATTTTAGGATTTTGTGTAGTTAGTAGATGTAGCCTGACTCCTGGTTCCTATCAGCACCGCTGTAAAGAAATCTGTGTTGATACGTTTCTCTGTAGAGAACGATTTCAACTCAAACCACTTTGAGTGACTTTGTTCACGTCTCAATAATGCAATGTGATAACCATTATATTGACAGGACCGAATTGGCATATCAGCATAATCTGTTTGTTTAATTCATTCTGTTATTGTCTATATTGGTGGTTACATGTGGTAAATCCAAAAAATCAGCAACTGCATTGTCATTGGCAGATACACAAATGGAAACACTAAGTACGTTTGCATGCACGCCAGTGGTTCAGTATTTATCTGATTAAGACTGATAGTCTAACTAAGTTATGGTCATGTAGCACAGTTTGATTGTCGGAGTCTGACTCAGGTCTTAGTCGACCTAAGCTTAGGCTCACACTTTTGCAAAGCGGAAGAGACGTTTCTTATGTTAAACATTTTCGTCAGACATCATTAGATATTTAAAAGTGAGGAGAAAAGAGCAGCAAAGGTATTTTAAAAGGCAGAATAGTCTTATCCAAATAAACTTCATGTGTGTCATGAAGGAGGTGTTTCACAGTGTAAAGTCAGACTATGTTGGCTTGCATTTAAACAGGACTGTAAATGGACAGATCTTTTATACAACCTTTGGTTCAGTCCAATTTCTTTGACCAACAAAGGATTCACTTGGGCTATTCAGTGCATGTGAATGTAGTTATTGATTATTGTCTGGCTTGGACTTTAGTGTAGGTGCATCTCTGTTATTTTAAGAACAAAATAATGGTGTATTAAATAAAGTTTTCAGAGATTGGAATGCAAAAAGCACCATAGATTAGGAGTGCCAATCAAATCACCATACAAGAGAGGATGATATCTGATCCTCGATCATCGCACTATCCTCAAATGGAATGCTGGTCCAGGCTGTTTTTCTGGTGTTCTTTTTTCTTTTTGTTCTTATTTTGTAACTTTTTTTTTACAGTTTCTTTTTACAGTCCTCAAATGGAATGCTAATCCAAGTTTTCTGTGTTTATTATAAATTTATTTATTTATTTACACATTTTTAGTTTTTTTTTCCTAGTATTTTTTCATCATGTTATCTCATGAGAAATGCACCACATATTTCCTCTGTTTACTTCTGCAGCATTGTTGAGCCTACAGGGCATCCTGTTGCATGTTGTGGTGTATCAAGGGCATCTCTAACTTCCGCTTTGGGCTACATGTTCCAGCATCTAATCCTTGAATGAACTCTGTAAACTGAACACAGGCGTTTGATGTTTTGACCCCTGCAGGTGCCCGTACCTGGCCGTCCACCTGTCTGCTGCCATCCCGGTCTTTGCTGTGGTGCTCTTCCTCTTTGTCATGGCCATGCTGCTGAGGACCAGCTTCAGTGACCCAGGCGTGCTACCCCGTGCCCTGCCTGAGGAGGCCAACTTCATCGAGATGGAGATTGGTGAGTATTTGTGATTTCAGGAATGTAAGGGAGGGCATGGTTAGTGATGTGACAGAGAGGTGAACAGTGGTATGAATAGTGCAGAAGCCTGGTGGCGTAAGCAGGGTGGAGACAGGCCTTCTATGCTGATTTATTCATTATTTAGTTATGCTCTGTGTTTACAGGCTATTTGGTGCATTCATCCATGTGATCTGATCTCATCTGCCTCTTCCTCCTGATCAGCAGGATGCTTAGCATAGCGTCATTGCAAGCTAACTGAGTCACTATCCTTTTGAGAGGGGCAGCTACCTGGCAGTGATGTCTAAGTGTTCTCTATGTGAGGTGTTAATAAAGTGGTTGTATTTGATATTGAGTATGAAGAGTCTTCACATTATATGGTTTTGCCATCCTTTCATTTAAGTTGATGTTAGTCAGTGCAAATAGAGGAAATAGACAGCTAAGAGTGTATGCCAAGGCCACAGTGTACTCTCAGCAGAATGAAGCTTGCAAGGTTGCATGAAGCTAAAACCAGCTCACTTATTTCTGATTGTGTTTTGGCTCACCGGTTTTGATTTATGGCATCCCTCTTTTGGACCAGTCACAGGCATTGTTGCGTAGTGTGTTTGTCCGCGTAGTTTTGTATTCTCACAAACAAATGTCAAATTGTTTGAAAAAATGAAAAGCTTTGTATTCTCTTTTTTTGGATATACAAAGAGTGACAACTGGTTGAATTTATTAAAAATAAACCTGAATGATTTAATTGATTTTAAATAGATTTTTAGTAACTTTTTCCAATTTAAGTGACCAAATTCCCTTTACTGTAACAGTAGAGAAATAAATCTGTAAATAACTTTTCTTCGCCACTATTCTGTTCACAGTTTGTATAATGTTGTTAGACTAAGTATTTAAAGCTAATACTTTATAAATATTCTGCAGTGTTTTGCAGTTTTATCTTAATACATTAACACATTGACTATTAGGTTTTTTCTTTTTATTTGTGCCACATAAGGTTGTTTGCACATAACATTTAGTTTCTTGTTGTCGTTTTGGTTTGTATCCTTAGAGTTTACAAGAAAAACATTAAAGTAAAGAGATGTAACCACAATTCAATTAATCTTTTTAATTAAGAAAAGCAGAAACATTATAAATTTAGTTAATGAGAAACACATTTGCGGTAATGAAAATTAGGGTAAAGAATACCAAAAACCTTTTTGGACATATTTTGAGGCAGTTTCATGAGACTGACCACGTTAGGGCTTGAAAGATTAATTGTTTTTAGTTTGAGCAAGTTTTAAGCTTTAAAAGTTTTAGTTTATTTTTAGTTTTACTTTAGTTTATATATAGTTTTATAGTTATATATAGTTTTAGTTTTTAGGCATTATGATGAAAGCTGTGATCATTATGGAGGACCAGATTTGCCAAATTGAAAAATAAATAAAATTTAAAAAATAAATGGCTCAGTAAATTAATCAATAAATAAAAAAACTAAATAAAGTATATACTGCTTATTGCGATTGTAATTATACACATATTTCCTTTTTCTGCAGTTATATATTTCTCAATTTATTTATTTCTGTATTATTTATTTTGTTTTATTAATGCCATTTTTATATTTTTTCCATATCTATATTTTTAACAATTGTTCGCTTTGTTCTTTGATTCATGTATTCATTTATTTATTTTTTCATCAATTCATTTATTTATTTTTTCATTAATTCATTTATTTATTTCTGTATTTCTTCGTTCATGTGATAATGAGGGGGCGTGTTTTTCACATTCAGGCTTAGCAATCAAGACCAGGAGGAGAAGAGCTGATTAAACTGTTCTTTCACCAACTCCATAAAGAACGGCACGGACAGACAAACCTGCCAAATAACTCTCGATGGCTTCCACAGGCCATATGTGAGAAGGGCATCCAAATGTCTGAGTGATCTGAATTTTGCAGGAAAAGACAATGAACCACCTCCTCCAAAGTTCTGAACACTACGGGGTCGCCCTCTGTATCAGCAGAGGCACCAAAATGGATCAAATTGTCCCCACAGCCTCCACACGAAAGAGTAAACAATCCGGACCTACATTTTCAGCCAGATCAGCCAAGACTCTCTGATCTCTGACTGTCTGCTGCTGTAAGAAGCCATTATTGTACTGTCTTGTCCTTAGTTACCACTGAGAGAGCACGACATGTACAATCGATCTACAGAGTCTGACATCGATCAACCAATAGGAGTATTAAGACGCTGTGACATCATTGACTGACAGTCCCTTTATTAGCATAAGGACAAGGAAATACAGAAATAACTAGAGAAATAAATAAATATAGAAATGAATAGTTATGGAAATAAATTAATAAAATAAATTAATAGAAAAACAGAAAAAATGTTAATAAAGAAACATAAATAACAAAAAAAAATAAATACAAAAATTAGTAAATTACTAAACAGACAAATAAATGCAGACATATTAATTTATGTAAGATTTTAATTATTAATATATTAATTGTTATGTATATTTATTTATTTTTAGATTTATCACCATTATTCTTTGCAATTCTACTTCATATATTAATTTATGTCATTTATTTAAGTCATTTATTTTTAATTTTATTTATTTTTCATTTTGGCAAATCTGGTCCTCCATAATCATAGGTATTTGACAAGAGGTGGATAAATGGTTCAAAATGCATAATTTCTATATAAACTACTGTTATGTGAGATTTATTACAACTCACAAAGCACAATTTTTTTTTTGTCCTGACAAGAACTAAATGCATCAAAGCGATAATAATTGTCATGACAGATGCCATAATATTTGATGTCATGACAGCTGTCACATGCAAATTTTTGCAAAGTGTAGTTAGTCATCATGACATCAGATGTTATAATATATTATACCCATATGGAAAAGAAATATGGAAAGTGTTTTTATGAAGTACATTCGAAAATGTATGAAAATGGCAAAAAATAGTTTTGCCTAGTGTACTTTAGTGCTTGATACATATAAAAACGTAGACCAACTAGCCACTTTATTAAATGCACTGCTGTGTCTGATCCACTCATACCAGCGCAACACACACTAACACGTCACCACAACATCAGTGTCACTGCAGTGCTGAGAATGATCCACCACCCAAATAATGCCTGCTCTGTGGTGGTCCTCTGAGGGTCCTGACTATTGACCCAGGGTGAAAGGGGGCTAACAAAGTTTGCAAAGAAACAGATGGACTACAGTCTACATTTGTGGAACTACAGAGTGCACCTATAGAGTAAGTGGAGCTGATAAAATGGATGTGTGTAGATACAAGGCAGTGTACTTGAAGTGACCGGTTGGTTTGTATACATAAATAAAAAAAAATACATGTCACAATTTATGCGACATACAATGGGCGGTTAACGGTAATGGTAGCATAATACTGTTACTTAATTTAACAAAATGTGTCATGACAATTGATGACCGCTTATGACAGCATTATGGCAGTGTGGTGTGGCATGGTTCAAGAAAATTGTTACCAAATTTGTTTTTGTCAATTTTCGTTCATGTTACGGTAAATGTTATAGTTTAGATTTAGCTTTTGTAATTTTGAAAGCTTGTGCTTGTTTTATTACAGTTCACGAGTACTTTTATCACTGCTAGCCGTTGTGTTGGTAACAGTTTTTAACTATGCTACAGGCAATTCATAGTATTTGGATTTTTTTCTCTACACATTTCCTGATATAGTACTACAAGATCTCATTAGGATTTGTAACTGGCGATTATGCTGGTTGTGTCATCACCTTAATTTCCTCCTCCTAAAAACGTCCCTCTCTTGATGAGCAGCATGGCAGTTTACATCCTTTTGCTGGAACATCCAGTCATTGTTCCTTTAAGGAAACAGAAGGGATGGATCCCTTCGAACACATCAAAACAGTTACTAAACATCAGCATATGACAAATGAGCATCTGAGCAATTTTTTTTGCTTCTAATTTATTTATAGAAAAACATGCTCCTTTACACAGACACACTGGTATGTCCTGCCTCGCCCATCTCTGCAGGGATAAAGCTGTCTGCAGTCGACCCTCCTCTGCATCCCCACCCCCACCCTGCTATTGTTCCGTGGGCTGCCGCTGGCTCTGCTGAAGATGCATGCTTTTCTCGCTCCTCCTCTATCCTCCCTTCCTCTGCCTCTCCCTCTCGGCACCTTCAGGAAGAGTGGGTGTGGAGCAGAGACAGGAAGACTTTAAACTACACAGCTGATAAATGAGCACTCCTGCTAATGTTCAGCTATGTCCAGGAGCAGGACGGCTGTTGGCGTTGCCACATTTTTCTTGCAAAACTGGTCCAGTAATCCGTATGTTTCCCCATACTGCACTACACCATGTTCATGATCCCCAACTGAACTTTGTGTCTCCTTGAGAAGACAGCTTTGTTAGATTGCTGCGGCCGAGCAAAGAAATTCATTACTCAGAGTAAATTTCCTCTCCATCTCTGTTCCATTTTCAGAGCTTTAATATGCTATTCCTTTATTTAAAGTGTGTGTGTGTGTGTGTGTGTGTGTGTGTGTGTGTGTGTGTGTGTGTGTGCGTGCGTGTGCATGCGTGCGTGCCAGACGGAGTGATTGCGTTGGTTGCGGGAATAGATGTGCTGCTAACTAGCGCAGGCATGTTGATGAAGAGGCCAGCTGCGCTCTTCAGTCCCCTCAACCCATTAAAGGCTGGCACCTGAATGAATACTAATAGGATGCCAACGTTCTTCCAGAATGCAATTGCAAAGGCAGACAAACAGAAAGCACTTCACACCGACCCGTCCTGTGTTTTCAACACAATCCATTCTGTCATTGCTAATGTGAAAGCAGCAGCAGCAGACCAGTGGAAATCAAATAGGGTTAATGTGTGCAAAGAAATAATCAGCCGTTCATTTAACTGATTACAGCATTAATTTGCAATCTACTTATAATAAATTAGCAGATTCTTTTTCCTTCCCAGTAAAATGCTTTTAGTCCTCAAACATAAAGCAGCCTAACAATATTTGTTGTTGAATTAGAAATTTTTTGCCCTTGAGCCCAGAATACATTGTCTCATGTAGCCTAATGGTACAATGGAAAACATACAACAGACGTTTTGGAAAACTCTTCTTCTGGTTCTACAGAAATCAGAAGCCTTTTGCTTATACTGTAGTGCTTATTCTCCACATGTTGGAGAACGGCCCATTAGACTGACAGTTTTAGCCTAAACTGTAGAAGCGCGGCTATGATAACAGGTAATAACACAGTGGGTTATGTTGTGTGGGAGTGGACGCTCTCAGCAGTGCCTGCTCTGACATTTTCAGGGTTCTTGGCTCTGATTTGTGTGTGTGTGTGTGTGTGTGTGTGCTGTGTTTTGTAAAGGACATCATTGCTGTGTGTGTGTGTGTCTTTTTGTGTGGCCTTCAGTTATTCTGATTCAAAACACAACTTCATACATGTAAAACATACATGAGCGCAGATCTAGGGCTGCATGACATGGATGAAATTCCATATTGCAATTCACAAGTTTGAACACCCTTCAAAATTTGGTTAATTGTCTAAATGAAAAAGTTAACACATTCTCTACAGAGAACAAACTGACATATGACATTTTTTCTGGCAATTTTAGTGCACAATTTCTATTTATTTGCTGAGTTTGACGTATTGGAAAAAAGAAACACAAAATATAGTATGTACTATAACTTTTGCCCAAGATAGATATTTGCCCAATATGTTAAATTTAGCATGCACTGTACTACAGTCCCCAGCATGCACTGCAACGTAACGTGCGCTCCAACTCTCCTACCCCAAAAACAGTCAGTAGAACAGCGGTTACACCTCAATTCTACACAATTCAACACAGTTCCACACCACTCATATCTCCAAACATACTAAATGCAGTTCAGCCGATATAAACACTTCATGTTTGCTCAGCAGCTCAGAAATTGGGCCCAAGTATGAATGAACTTGCAGCAAAGAAAAGATGCCAGATGTCTAGTTCAAGCAAATAAGTAGTTTTAAAAGACCGAGCCATTTAAATTTTGAATATTTCAAGTATTCATGCAATATTTTAAGGCTTACTACAAGTACCTATATTTTACTGTTGAAGTTTTTGTGTATTTTGAATAAACCATACTCAGTTTGGTTTGTAGCAAAATGTTAATTAAAGACAAAATAAAATATAGGCATTCTCTGGCCCATGGATTTGTTGAGATTTTTTTAAAATGTCCCTCTGAGTGGTTGAGTTTCACACCCCTGCTGTAGAGGATTATACCAAAAAATGAACAAAACGTAATTTCACCAGAGGTGCCCAAACTTTTGCATATGACTGTAGTTGCATAATAGAGGTGGTGAATATAACAGTATTTATCATTATTGTGATTAGGGATGTACACGATTAACAATTAACCATTGACTATAAAATAGACAATTACTCAGCAAATACTAAGTTAAAAACCCATAAACAGCAACAATAATAAACCAATAGCAATAAACAGCAATTCTTATAGGCACATTTATTATTCAAATTGAGGAACATTTTTTGAGGAACTGTATGTGTGAGCATGCAATAGGCAGTTGGTTCCATTAGACAGGCTTACAAAAAAAGAAGTGCACAACTAAAAAATAGTGGTGTTCAGGAGGATCGAAAAAGTGAAAAGTGTGCTGTTTATCGGAAATATTACAATGGCTTTTAACTCAGCCAATCAGTTCTCTAAACCGGAACTATACACTTTAGAACTGATATTTTGAAGGATTCTTGATTTTAAGCTTGTGGTTGATTATCAATCATTATTTGTCAAAGTCCATCACCCTAATTGTTATAAATTACCTCACAAAAAGCTTTTCTGAGCATCTTGTGAATATTGTCAGTACAGACCAACTGCATGTTTGTAAAACACTGAACAATAATTGTTGTATACACATTGTATGCTAGTATTTTTTTAAATGTGGCACTACTGGTGCTATTTTGACTGTTCCAACTTATCAGACTTCAGGAAGAACTATTGTGATGCATATTGTGCATCTTGAAAATGCCTGGAAGTATCGCAGTGTTTTATTTTTGCCATATCGGCCGCTCCTATTGCAGAATTTCATATTGCAATCATGATGTAACTTACAATATACTGAAAACATATTAGTGAATCATTGATGTCATGTTAAAATGTATCCCTTTATTTATTTATTTATTTTTTTAACAAAACGATTTACATTTGTTGGATCATGTGAGTGCCTTGATTTATCCATGTAAAGTACAACCCCAATTCCAAAAAAGCTGGGACGATGTGTAGGAGTGCAATGATTTGCAAATCTCATATACCCACATTTTATTCACAGTAGAACATAGAACACATATGAGATGTTGAAAGTGAGATATTTTACCATTTCATGAAAAATATTAACTCATTTAGGACAACGCATCTCAAAAAAGTTGGGAGAGGGCCATGTCTACCGTTCTGTAGCATCCCCTCTTACTTTAACAACAGTCTGTAAATGTCTGAGAAGTGAGGAGACCAACTGCTGGAGTTTTGGGAGAGAAATGTTGTCCCATTCTTGTCTGATGTAGGATTCTAGCTGCTCAACACTCCTGGGTCTTCTTTGCCGGATTTTTCATTTCATTACGTGCCAAACGTTTTCTATTAGTAAAAGGTCTGGACTGCAGGCAGGCCAGTTCAGCACCTGGGCTCTTTTTCTGCAAAGCCATGCTGTTGTGTTGGAAGATCACGAAGATCACGAGCATCCAGTATTGACCGTCGGCCTTGTCCCTTGCATACAAGGAATTCTCCAGATTCTCAGAATCTTTTGAGGATATTATGTACTGTAGATGGTGGGATATCCAAATTCTTCACAATTTTATGTTGAACATTTTTCTGAAATTGTTGCACAATTTTTTCATATGCAGTTTTTCGCAGATTGGTAAACCTCTACCCATCTTTGCTTCTGAGAGACGCTGCCTCTCTAAAATGCTCTTTTTATACCCAGTCATGTGAGTTAGTTGCAAATTACTCCTCCAGTTGTTTTTTATTAGTACTTATTTTTCCAGCCTTTTATTGCCCCTGTGCCCACTTTTTTGAGATGCGTTGCTGCCATCAAGTTCTAAATGAGTTAATATTTTTCATGAAATGGTAAAATGTCTCCCTTTAAACATCTGATTTGTATTTTATGTTCTATTGTGAATAAAATATGGGTCTGTGAGATTTGCAAATCATTGCATTCTGTTATTATTTACATTTTACACAATGTCCCAACTTTTTTGGAATTAGGGTTGTATATTCAGAAACAGGTCAGGACACTCAAAGCACTCAAAGCAGTTAGTGCCTTTTGTGACATCAGTGTTGTGAAAGTCAATATTGCAACATAAATAAACTAATGATGTATTATGCCACCCTCGTTTTGCAGAAGCAGCCAATGGCAACATCCAGGCTGGTCAGCGGCCTCCTCCCCGCATCAGGAACGTGCAGATCAACAACCAAATCGTCAAGCTGAAGTACTGCTACACCTGCAAGATCTTCAGGCCTCCTCGCGCCTCCCATTGCAGCATCTGTGACAACTGTGTGGGTGAGTGGACCACTGCTGTCTGTCTGCACTCTCAGGACACTCCAGAGCACCATAGCTCTTTCTAGAAACCATTACAAATAGTGGTGGAGCCAGTGCTGTTTATATGGATGGCTGCTGTAAAGCTGAATACTAAACTGAAATGCCTTTGCTGGGTTGTTTGTGAGTGATTCATCAAAAGTGCCACAGAATTGGATTTCTTTTGTTTGTGTGTTGATTTCTATGAAGTTTTTTTTTGTTTGTTTGGAGATTTGAATAGAGCTTATTTTAAACCATAAGTTAAACAACAGTTGCTCTGCTCTGGTGCTCATAAGTGTAGTTTAGCAAGAGTAGCGCAGCTAAAGGATTCACAGACAAAATCAGGTGACCTCCCTCAGATTTGATTCTTTATTCTCTAAATTTGCATTAATGAAGCTTTGGTGATCTGGAATGAAACTGGTGTTGTGGTGTGAGAAGCTGTAGCATGCTAAGGTGCTGCTACCTGCTACAAGGACAGCTTTACCTATCATATTTAACAACTTATTAGATAAATGTGGAATATAAAATATAATAGGGGGTGATATCCCGCTTTATTTGGTATACCGATTGAAGAAAGAAAAGATTTAACTTTTGTCATTATCGTTATACAAATATGCCTGAAATAAACGTGTATAATGCAACGTACAAACAGTGCAGAACACACTGTAGTGGGTTGCAGTCTAAGGTAATTCAGTCCAGATTGTTGAAGGTTGTCGAATAAACAGATAACAGAATCAGTTACACCTTAGCCTAGAGTGGAGAATAGCTAGCTTTTGCCATGCACTGTCTACGGCACCCCTCGCTCAACCAGCAACTTCAGGCAAAGCCATGGTCTAACCCTGTTCCTCACTACAAGCTGAGAGGCTCCTCAGCTTTTCAGATAGTACTGATAACATGAAAGGCTTGTAATTCCAGCAGCATCTGATGACCATTGTCCAAAGTCAGAGTATAAGAGACGCATGCATGAGACAAATGACTTATTAGGGTTAGAAAGCAATATTGACATCTGTCTATATATTGTTCATTTTTACTTTCAATATTTTGCCCAATAAAAATATTGTGGAATGATTTTTGTTAGAAGTGAAAGGGCATATCAGAGTAATATGCCATTGGAAATCGACCAAAAAAAGGTTTATTTAAGCTTACAAAAGGGCTTTTGGAAAACAATCTATGTAAATACATTATGTCGTGATACACACAAAAATAGTTGTAATATATGTTTTTAGCCATACTACCCACTGCTACACCTTCATAATTTATAAAACCACCATCATTTATCTATTTTAGCTAACTGCAAACTTTTTGTGCTAGGTTCAAACATTTAAAACATCATGTTGGCTGTGTTAGTGCTTGCTCTGCTCCAACTTTTCTGTTGCCATGTCCTAACATACTTTAATATAATGGGCCATAAGGGGTTCAAGCTTTTTTGTGATGTGCAAAACTAAGCTGCTACGTAGCATCCCACAAAATGCCTTTTTGTAATGGAAGTACTGAGAAAGCCAATGTGTTCAATGATAAAATGTATACTTTCAGCTATAGTAACACATATGACACACATACCAATCTATGTAATCGTAAAAAGCCATCCAATAGGAGTGCAGTGGGTCTTTAAATGAAGGCATGCATAGCATGGGTCCACCTCTGATGTACTCAAGCATGCCATGTGAATACTCTGTGATAATTCCACTTTGTTGAGTGATGAGCCAGAAGCAGTGTATGAGCTCCACATGCACACGTGCACTCTGAAAGAGGTGAGCTCTGGGCTGAGATTGCAGAGCACAGTGAAGGCTCAGGTTTCTTTCTCTCTGCACAGTCATTGTGAACACAGGGCCGTCTGTCTGGGCTGCGTGCACCTGCTACACTCCGTCTGTTCCTCACACACACACGGAGTGGACCTCGCCAACCTTTCTTCATAGCTGGTGCCCAGGGGCTAGGTCTGCTCTCCAGTATGTAGGCCAAATGTAGAAAGCTGTTGATCTGAAGCAGTTCTTTCAGATCTGTCGGCTGTGTGTGTATTGCGTCTTTCAGAGACATTGTGAATTATGACTTAATTCTTGATGTACAACTTTGTCAGTTATTTTAGAGTGTTCTACAGCTGTATTTATCATTCTGGACACATCTAAAATACTTAATTTTAATTTATTCCTACCGGTTATTATAATTTATTCCTACCAGTTGTAAATCTTGTGCAGGAGTTGAACAGGACTTTCATATTAGAATAATTTTGTACAATTATATGCAACCAAATTGCTTTCATATTATTGAAAATTATACATGTAAAAATATTTCTTGTAATTCTGAAGTTGTTTGGCCTCTCATTATTTGATTAATTGGCAAAATAATCTGTAGATTATGTAATTACTATTATAATCGTTATAGGCAGCGCTAATAGGCAGAGCTTTCCCTTCCAGTTACTCTGCGCAATCATCATATCAAATCTGTAACTGATACCAAAACACTCTCACTCTCTCTCTCTCTCTCTCTCTCTCTCTCTCTCTCTCTCTCTCTCTCTCTCTCTTTCCCTCTTTCTCTCTCATACAGATCGTTTTGACCATCACTGCCCGTGGGTTGGGAACTGCGTGGGGAAGAGGAACTACCGCTACTTCTACCTGTTCACGCTCTCCCTCTCCCTCCTCACCATCTACATCTTCACTTTCGACATCGTCCACGTTGCACTGCGTGAGTGTTATGAACCTTTGCACCCAAGTGTGTTTGTGTAGAAATTACATTTCCATGCCTTCAGTGAAGATAAAGCAGCAATATGCAGAGATGAGGCCACCGATCGATATTTCCAGGCTGTTAGTGTTTACATAAAGGTCTTCAGTGGTGGGGGGGGTGTCAGAAATCCACGTCTGCTTTACCTTGCCAACACTGAACAGTGTGGTTAATGCCACGATAATAAGCTCTCTCAGGATTATTAAAGCGGGAGAAGGTTCCATATCTTCTAAAGGCCCCTGATGCGCTTCAGTTAGCGGCTGGTTGACATGCCTTGCCTTTCATCTTCCTTTGCTTCAGACTACTCCCATGCAAAGACAGCAGGAGACAGGCAGGGAGGGAGGGAGTGAGGGAGGATGAGGGTGAGTGAGTGAGCGTGGGGGGGTTCGGGGGGGGCGGTGGAGGAAGAGAGTGCAGTCGAAAAGGATCGAGAAGCAGTGCAGGAATTCCACCGTGTGCTGTAGTCTTGTGAATAGACTTTGAGTCTGCCTAATTAGCTCGGAGCCTGTGATCACGATTTAGGGCATAACGCAGGCTGAATGTCATCCCTAATTTTAAAGCATGATTTTTTAATGCTATATAATAAGTGAGGGGAATACAAATGAGCAGAGCTGGCATAATGAGCCCGGGTTGGGTGCGCAGTGGGGGTCGGAGGGAAGCTTGGCTGGGTGTGTGGGTGGGTTTATACGTGTGAGGAATCACTGTATGAGGTGTCGCTCTTTTAATAATGAAGGAGAGTGAGAAAAAGACGTACTAGGATGGGTACAGTATATGTACATAATTATATGTTTTAATGAATACAGTTTGTCATGTTCTTTCTACAGGCTCGGTGGACTCAGGGTTTTTGAACACTCTTAAGGAAACCCCTGGAACATATCCTTTTTGAGACATTTAGGCCCCAGCAGCCTGCCTCACTACACAATAAGATCCCTTCCTTATAAACACTTACTACTTGAGTGATTATTATGGAACAACAAAGAAACATGTCTTTATAACTTTAATAACCTTTCACATGAGTTGCATTCTCACGTGGACAAATTTATTACTACGTTGTGCAGATCATTTTCTCTGAGTGTCAGCACGTTTGAGCTCATAAAAGCATTTATACAGCCAACACAAGTCTCAGATATTAAGCCCATAAAATATCAGAGTTCAGCAGTTACCATGCTGACCAGAAAGACTGGCGAAGCTAGTTCAAACCCAACATAAAGAGGAAACGTTCTCTGATGAGCTCTTTTTAGGAAATTATAGCTCAGAGAAACAGGCAGCTGTTTGCAGTGCAGTAAACCATACAGTGAACTATACGGTATAACCAATATGCACTTACTGTCCACTGTATTGGAAACATCTGCCTTGTAATTACCCTCACTGGTGACTTTATGAGGTCCACATACCTTATAGGACCTCTATTTAGGTGTGCAGTTACAGACTGTAGGGCTGGCCAGAATTGTTATCATGATCAATTACGTCATAATACGTCTCAAAATGCTTTTCTCAGCAAATCGTAAATGTCATCAGTACTTAAAAAACATGTCCCAACTGCATGCTTGATTACAAAGAGAGCGTAATTAGTCAGTTTAATATGATTTAGTGCGGCTTAATGTGTGAAATGTTGAAAAAAATCACTGGATTCATAGTTTTTTGATAGTGTTCTTTACATTTCTTAAACATTATAATATTATAATTTGAATAATAATTATAATATTTTTTTTAGATCAGCTGGAGCTCTGTATGCTAAAGCAAAATGTTTATGGAGTTCATTTTTTTTATTTTAAAGTTTTTTTGGCTTTTTTTGACACTAATTCTCATCATTGCAATGTAGCCACTTATTTGTCGTATTACACTTTATTTTTGAATTAGAAGCAATGTGATTGTACATTTGACATTTTACACTTGACTGTTGAATCTCTTTAATGATTTCCTTCTAAACGAAAACAAAATCTTATGTGGCACAGCAAAAAAAGAAAAACCTAAATGCCTGTCAATGTGGTGTAGTAATGCAATTAAATTTCAAAATATTTAGATCATGTTAATTTGCTTTTAAATACTTGGTCCAACAACGTTATACAAATTGTGAAAGTAAAAGTTGCAGAAAACAGTATTTGTCAAAAAAATGTTTGTGAGAATAAACTGGCTGCATGTTACCATTGTATGCATATTGTCACTGTTTGCATATTTACAACAATTCTGCTATGAGGCACAAAACCCTTTTTATTTTTTCTAAACCAATATATAAACGCATCATTAGGGCTGCAGTCTCTAACTGTGTACAAGCAAGGAGGACCTACAAGGCAGGTGCTTCTACTAAAGCGACCAGTGAATGTAAATATGCTGTGAGTCATTAGTGAAAGTATTAGATGTTCATGCAAAGCAGCCAGAAGGAGTACTGTGACAATGTTCATTGTGTTGTTTCCTTAACTCCTTACTGTACTGTGATAGAGGTCTTGGTGTGCTTCTTCACACTCTGGTCTGTGGTGGGACTGACTGGTTTCCACACGTATCTGATCTCCCTCAACCAGACCACCAACGAGGATGTGAGTGTTCCTATTGTACCTTAGAGTGCAGTTCACACTCCTGTGTCACTCTGATTCCTGCTGCAGTAGAGATAAATGTATGCGCTGAACTGTGGTAAACTCTTTGAGGCGTTAAAGCTAGTCAGCTGTCACCTTGGCAACAGTGTGCCTGGATCGTAGGAGAGAGAAAACTATAATGTGAATTTTCTGCTGCTATGCTGCCGCAGTAAACATTTACACAATCACACAATCCTGCATATGCTCATCTCGTAAAGCTGACCTTGTGGTGTGTGCGCGGATGGTGAAGCTTTATTGTTGGACATTGTTCAAAAAGCTGTGTGACACCTACATAAGCTTGTCATGACAACTGACTTTGAATTACATAAACTTTTATAAATGCATATTTCCAGGAGTAAAAATGGGCAGGTTTTACTGGGATGACCCTAGGTTTTGAACATCCTAAAATGGTGCATTTTCACATTGAAATACACCTTACTTATTTCTCTCTTACCTTTTTATTCTGCCTCTCCTGCATTGAAAGCTTCATTGTTTTTGTTTTTTTTTAGAAGCTACACTTTAATCAGGGTCCCCCAACCTTAACTGAAAGAACAAAAGTGCTCAAATTCTTATTGCTACCAACAACAGCACTTTTGTCTGACTGTTACAAATTAATCTATGGTCTCTCCCCCCCCCAGGCTTTTTTTATTTATTACAGAACTCATGATCATTAACATTTCGATTAAACACTGCGGATTGCTCCCATACATATTCCCCTTATATTTGCAACCTAAACGTCCTTAAACATATTTAACATAATTTTTCTTAAATACAGATGATGCTATATTTATGGAGAGCAAAAACTTTTATTAATAACACAAAAAAAAATTATTCTGCCTTTCCTGCATTTAAAGCAGGACCTTTAAAGAGCTGAAAAGAAGCCTTCTAAAGGCAGAGACTACAAAGCAGATCATCAAACGTTTGTCAGAGCAACCGTTATTGCACCCAAAATCATAAACTACCTCTACCATTATGTGATCTAGACTATCAAAAACTACTTCAATTCAGTGTCAACATACATTTACAGTGGATACGTTTATATTTATATAAATATAAAGGTTGACAAAATAAGCTTCAATAACAGAAAGTGCTTATTACTGCTTTATAAATGTTTTTGTAGGTTTAAGTCAGTTGTGATGAGCTTATGTAGGTGTGATGTAGCCTGATGAACCCTGCCCTACAGTAAAGTGTTAGCTTGTGTATTTAAGTGCTGCAGCACAGTTTTATTTATGCTTGAGGATGGCAATTCCCTGATCTGACTGCAGAGCCTGTAGTTCTGGGCTGTGGTACGTTCACACTTTACTGTAATGATTCATTTATAACACTCCCTGCCAGCACTTTATCCATCAGATGAGTGCATAGAGAGAAAGAGAGAGAGAGTGAAAAGGGGTAAGGGAGGAGTGATGTTTTTGGCTGACACATTAGCACATGTCAGTCTCTTGTTTGTGTGAATTTGATCTTGCTAATAATAGACATATCAATACTTGCTGGCGGCGATACAGATCACGTACAAAAAAGTGTGAGGTGATTTATCGAGAGGCATGGACACAAAGGGCACCTTCAAACCTGAGCCTGAGCTTCTAGCTGAGAGCAATTCCTATTTTTGTTGCAAGAGAAAGTGACAGACAGATGAAATCTTCAGTCTTTTCATGAGTCCCATTTCTAATTTAACCACAGCTGTGCAGAAATAGAAGTCATTAAAGCTCTATCCTGTTATCCAGTGCTTTTGATTCATGCTTAAATTCCATCCAGGAAAAGATAAAAGACCCCTTGCTAATGCCGGAGCAGCCTTGTCTTACTCCTTCAGACATGCATTCTTTAAATCCCTGACTAGTTCTTTTTTTACTAGGTCAAGTCAGACCCAGAGGGAGTTAACAACTAAAACTGAAACGGCACTTTTGAATAAGATATAAGCCAGAAGCGAGTTCTTTTGCCTGGGCCTCTGTTGGAAGTCCTGGCATCTAACCTGCAGCAGCAGCATCAGGAATACGAGAGGACTGTAGATGCTTTGAGTTTGGCTGAGCTGGTTGTAATTGCTGGCAGTATTGGTGCCCAGCCAGCTTGATTTCTTAGTTCTGATGCTTTTATGTTTGTTCTGTGCAGATAAAAGGCTCATGGTCGGGGAAGAACCGTGTCCAAAACCCATACAGTCACAAGAACATCATCAAGAACTGCTGTGAGGTGCTCTGTGGCCCCACTTACCCCAGGTAGGAATCGTGCTGATCTGTCTTTTTGTTTAAAAAAAAAAAAAGTAAGTCACATGCAAAACTTAACTAAATTCATTGTTCAGAATTTGTTCAGTTTTTTAACTTTGCACAGCTTTAGCTGTGAGGCTGTTTTAGCTATTAAGTAAATGAAACTTTTACCCACCACTTATCATCATGCAAAATGCATGGAGAATTGATCTCATTCTTTCTTTAAACCACATCAGGTTGTTAAGTAATCTTAATTACTTGCTTATATGTTGGGCTGGCATGATTTAGAAAACTCTAATTTGGCATAAAATGTAGACAGTTAGCGTTATTTAAATTTACTTGTATTTACACATTCATTCAGAACAGTTTACATTTGTGCCAGAGAGGGCAGCAAAGCCCAGTGCCTTAAAAAATCATGCTTTCATACCACAGGCCTTGCTTGTGTGGTTTGTTTGCCTCTTGTAATGTTTGGAACTCCAAATTAAAGTAGTGCCTCAAACACACAGCCCTCAGCGCTGGTGGTGCAGGTGGTAAACTTTCTTAGCAGAATGGGCTGTTAACCAGTGTCTGTGGATTTGAGTCGCACTAGCTAAAAGAAAAATGATAACTTTGTCACCATCACTACCTGATGAATCCATTTTCTTAAGAAGTCCATGGGAGCGAAAGTTCATTCAGTTTGTTAAAAATAACATCTGCTTCTTTCATCTCAAAATCAACCGGGTGTAAAAAGACCTTATGACGAACATTATAAATTATAATTAAGAGTAAAAAATATTGTTCCTGATTGTGTTTTTCTTGTGTAAGTGAAGTAAGAACAGGAGTGTCAGTTAGTGGACCAGAGTGCAGAACACTCATTTTACAATTTCATACATGTTACCGATAATTATTGATAAATTACTACATAATTCCAGCCTTACTGCGTATGTGATTTGTAAGATGCCATGAAATGAAAAATAGAAAAAAAGTACGATGCCCAGCTAAAACCAATAGGAGTAACCAACTCAAAACCTGAATTTTATTTGTACTTTTGTTAAATTAAAAGTCTAACTCCCTTTCTCTCTGTCTCTCTCTCTTTTCTCTCTCTGTCTCTTTCTCTTTTTGTCTGTGTGTCTCTCTCTCTCTCTCCTCTTTGTGTCTGTCTGTCTGTCTCTCTCTCTCTCTCTCTCTCTCTCTCTCTCTCTCTCTCTCTGTCTCTCTCTCTAGTGTTCTGGACAGAAGAGGGGTGATGGCAGAAGACCCTCTTAGCTCCAGCCCTTCTCCACCCACTCCTGATGCTGTGGCCACCAAGAGCAACCCAGTTACACCCAACACAGTAAGAATAGTAGTGTGTATGTGTGTGTGTTTAACATGAAAGTTGTTCCAGGTTGCCAGAGTGCATAATGGAGTGACTCTGCATAAAAGAATAGGCTTACCGCCTAAATCTGTTCTACTGTCTGCTGAAAGAGGAAGGAGATGTGGATGTGGAGAGGAGAGGTTAGAAGGGGTGTTGTTTAATAGATGTTTTAAATTACATTCAGTTGCTTTTACCTTTGTGAAAAATCCAGGTGGAGGCACAGAATGTTTTGGTATTTTCAATTTCTGCACTAGAGAGGAAAGCATTTAGTGAATTTCTTTAGTGGCACGAGTGTTTGATTTGCTTTTGTCACGTGTATGTGGTCTGTGCTGGAAGTTTCTGAAAGCTGTGGAAGAGATTGAGTGTGTGTGGGTGTTTTCTCTATTGTGGGATTGTTATTTTGTGGGCTCTGGCACTCAGTGAGGCAGTACATTTATTCAGGTGACCTTTTGCAGGTTTGAGAATCACAACATAGTGACTCAAATTTTGGCATTTCCGATTTGGTGCCTTGCTCCAGGTGGGGCTCCGGCAAATATGGGAGGAAAATGCTCTCCGCTGAACAGTTGTGTTTACAAGAGACATTAGATGCCCCAGGTACTGAAACATGAATCGCTGCGGTCATGGATTTTAAAGGAATAGTTGTGTGGAAAAGTATTATTTACACAGTTTACCCCGCAGTCCATATCATGTTTTGCCATGTTTTGACATATTTGTTGTCCAAAATGTTCTTCTTTAGTTTTGCACTGGAGCTACAAGCCTGATGTAGGTTTAAAGAAATGGACACTTAGATCCCACAAATTAGCTTTGGGTAAACTACATACTTTAATCATTACACACCTCAAACCACGTCAGGTTGTTTAGTAGTCTCAAATAAACTTTCTAATGACATACTGTTGTATATAAAAATTGACAAAAGTACATCTCATTGCTTCAAAAACAGGAGGAACAGCCTTCTTGAAACCTGAATTTTGTTTGTATTTTTGTTCTTTTCTATTGTCCATCTAAGTACTTCAGAGCTCAACATGGTTTGAAGGAAGTGTGGGATGATTTAGGCATTAGGATTGTGCGATATAAAGATTTGATCATCCCTACATGATCTTACACTGCCACGTTATCCAGTGACATTGACTGTAATTATACTATTTCACTAATTGCTCACGTTTACCATTTAGCTCTTGAATTCACTCTTTTTAAATAATTAAAATGTGTGATTTTACTTTCAGTTTAGACTTTTCTTGTTAGTTTTGCAGTTACTAGTAAGTATCCTGTTAAAATACCTTTTTAAACGGTTGCCATGAGCTCATTAAGAACCCATCTGACGTGACCATATATGTGGAAATAAAATGCGTTGAACACGTTCAGAAGAAAAATTGCTCATACTCTAAATCTGGCAACTTTTTGGATTTATACCCAATGGAAAGATTCAACTGCTCAGTCCGAATGATGTAACATATACACCCCAGATTCCACCCCAGAATTTCAAAGTTTGTGCATTTAAGGTGGGACTTGTTTTGCTATCAGTGGAACAACGCTCCAACAGAAACGCCCACCCTTCCCCCAGTCACTCATTAACATTGCAAAAACTTCTGTAAATACTGACCTGTCGAAACTATCCACTGCCCCTTTGCCAACCCTGGTCAAATTGTCTAGATCCACCACTTTAAACTTTAAAGACAACACCATGATTTTAGGTTTTTATTTGTTTTGTTTTTTTTAGGTAGGTTTATTTGTTTATTTATTTTTTATTTTTGTTCTAGATGATTTCATCATTAATTGAGATTTTTCTAAGTGATAATCACAAAAGTCAGTATCGCTCAAACCTATTAGGCATGCAGTTTACACAGTGCTACATAATAGAATTTAATCTTCCTTTACTTGGTAGCTACATTACTTTGTAGCTCCAGTGCAAATCTACAGAAGCAAACTTAGGCACCAAACATTGTTTTGGCTGATTAAATACTTTTGGGCATTAAGATGCAAACGTAGCCATTCAGAGTGGTATGATGTGAACTGTAGAGAAATTTACCAATTCTTGTAATTTTCCTTACAGTGGAGAAACCAGGGGTTGTGATGTGTGCAACACGACTATATCCATTTTATTTATTAGCCAGAATGACTAGTGAATGTACACGTTTTGAGTTTTATGTGAAATCTTGATAATGGTTAAATAACGATAAATCCCAAAAATGTCTTTTCTCACAGTGCTCTGCATATATCCAGTCACAAATATGGTTTACTTAAGTGTTGGCCCTGTTGTCAATAGATTGGGAGTTCAATCCCAGGCCATCCATGGCCAGGAAAATTCAGAAATTTTGGATTCTTCCCACAAATAGTCTACCAGTAGGGAACTCTGCACCTGTGGCTGAATCCTAAATGGTTCTTTGTTAGACACATTCTGTACTGTTTGGGTGAAGGAGCCATTATTTTAAGGCAACCACACACCAGACATGTTAGTTCAGCACTGTTCAGTTTTTCAGCATGCCACAGCGTGTCACTCAGTATTTTGCCATTAGTACGTTAAATTAAAACCATATTAAAACGAGACCACTGAAAGTCATAATAAATGATGTGGCTAGAAATTTACACAGAGAGAGGTAGTCAGTCTTTTAGATAAACAGACAAACACTATTGGTCTATTATCTCTGCTAATGTTTCTGGCTTAGTCTTTTTTTTTTTTTTACTCTATAAGTTTCAGCTTGAAAACAGTGAAGAGGCAGTAAACTGACACCAAATGTATAAATTGTGTTGAAAGGTTTAGAAAGGTTTATTTAATTAAATTCATACAAGTGTAAAAATAAGCTTGATGTTTATCGGCACTTTCACTGCAGTGCATTCTACATAATAGCAGCTGGTGAAACTGGCCATTACTAAACTTGGGTAGAAAAAAATGGGTAAAAATACAAAAAAAAAAATTCGGCCAGAACTTTACCTCAAAACTAAAGTAAAACAAAATCTCAGGTATCAGGCAACATAATTGTAACAATTTCACATAATAATTTTCCATGAGGGAGCTTCTAGAGATATTAAAAGCTTCACACGTCTGGTTCCTATCACTACCACTGTGAACAGTTCTGACAAGGCAAGTTTCCCCACAGCGGATCATTTCACATCAAACGACTCTGAATGTCTTTACAATTTATTTATACAGAAACGTTTCAAAATTGGTGTATTTCTTCTTTAAGACATCAGTCCTCATATGGATGCAGTCACTCACTGCACTGAGACAGATTTTCTTGTCTTAGTCCACCATATTATTAAAGATGTTCTGCCACTGGTTTTCTGCTCATCACTGAGTTCCTGCTGTGCTAACTGCGGCTCTCTCTATTCTGCAGAAAACCACAGCTCCGCTGATCCCTAACGAGCACACTCCTGACGAGGCCAAGCCCAGCATTGCCGCAGCTGCCCAGAAGACTACGAAAGAGGAGAAAGCGTCCAGCCCCAGGGACCCTAGCCCAAAAGTATCCCCTGCCCCCATTGTTGTCAAGGAGTCTGCCCACTAGACCTTCGCCACACACCTTTAAACACTCGTCTGTTAAGGAACTCACACATTTAAACTGTGGAAAAAGTGTTGGAGAGAGACTCTGAAAGAGACTCTGAGGCTCAGAGCAGCGTCTGTTCTTCAGTGCCCATGTCCAGACGAACGGCCTCTCAAAGTGGCCACTCCCTCACTGTTGAAGGCTCCTTGGAGGCGCCTTGCCACCCTCCCCTTTTCTCCAAAACACTGCATGACACAAAAACACGTACAAACTGACCCGTGTTTTGTTGACTGTCTACCTGCAATGCTTTCCTTCAAGTGGCATTACCTGTTCCTGAAGGGCCATTTACCATTCATTGATGTTCCGTCCATTTGAACTAATCTAAACCCTGTAGAACATGCAATTCTAGATTCTGTAGTACTTGGTGCAACAGGTCCTATGCAACACAGAAACGGTTTTGAAGATGGCGAGAACTGTCGTGCAGGATTTGATTAAATATGAACAGATGACGTATGATCAGACTGGACACCTGGTCATTGGACTGAACATGAATTTGCTTTGGTTGTAGTTCCCCATAGGCATGACCACACAACTCCCTGCTTTCTACATTATCTTATTATTGTTTTGAAGTGTTAATTTTAAGCAACAGTAAGTTAACTCACCCTGATTTTTGTTTTCTTTAATGTCATTCACTGAAGTCAAGGCATCTGTGCTTTACCGAGACCTGAATTCAGTATGAAATGTTTCAGGTCAGGACATGAAGGCCACTCACATACATCTCTTGTGTTTCAGCGAGGCCGGCCTGTCGTCGACAGACACTAGTAACAGTGCCTTATCTGAAAGCTGCACTATCTCAGACAACTAAGGCCATTTGCAGAGAAACACTTCAGATTTCCATGTCATAGTACTAAACGAAAATAATCTATGTTGAGTATTAAAGAGTTGGCTTTTTTTGTTTAACAGAACACCAATGATACATTAACAAGCAAAAAAAAGAGTAAAAACCAAGAAAGCCATGGTATAAATGTATATAGTGTAAAATAATTTAGAGGTTGTGGATATTCTACAAGAAGTGGCTGAATTTGCCTCGTTCACCTGGTGACTGTGCACCCTCCTACTGCGTTGAGCAAGGTCATCCCAGATCTGCCTCTTTCATCATCACCTTCATCCTCATCCTCTCCTGGTCTTTCCCCTGTAGGCAATTTTCTTTCTCAGTATTCCTGTTCTTTTCTTTTTCCTTCTGTCCCTTCTGTGAGTGAGTGAAGATCACTCATAGCTGACAGACCCCTCTGTGAGCAGCAAAGCCGAAGAAAAAGAGTAGATGGGATTTAGTTCACATGATTTTCATCATCTGAGAGACGCCAGGCCCAGGGAACTGAAGAGTGTTTACAAGAGATCGAAGATGCATCAAATGATGTAGGCAACATATTTAACCCATGCTAGTTTGTGATCTGTGCGAGTGTCTTTTCTTTCGATGCGTTTTATTCTTCGTTTGTAAGCTAGAGTAGGTGCCTCTCTGTGTATGCTTAAGCAAAGTCTTAGTGGAAGGATGTTCTAGGTGTACAATGATGAACGATTGCAATTAACATTTACTAAATTCACAGAATCTCCAAGCCTGTGGAATATTGTGTGCTGGATGAAACATTTTTTGTCATGTTGTTTCTTTTCTTCTTTTTCCTTTTTTGTGCGAGTTGGATTGGGGTGGGGCAATATGTGATTACACTTTGTTTTTCTGAGCACTATGACCAAGCAGAATCTTTGTGTCATACGAGTCGAAAAGAAGAGAGCAAGCAGTCAATATTTGTGCTTTCTGTGAAAAGATTTGGAACTGATGGACTCTCTCTAACTCTCTTTTTATATATATATTTATATAGGGAAAGAGAGAGAGAAAAACAAAGTTTCACCAAGAGAAGTACAGAAGAGTGATGTAAGAAGGACTTGAGAAAATTTGCTGATTTTAATGCATACGTTTGCATGTTAACCGCTAGTTTCCTATATAATTTTAAGAGCTGTTTTGAGTTGTCTCAGTTGTTTTTTTTTAAGTTGAATAGTACTCTGGATCTGTACCTTCAAGCACCAGTAGAAAATTGCTGCAACTGACAGGCCAGATTCTGGTTCTGCTTAATCAGAGGCCTTTGACCACCAACAGCAGGTCATGGTTATAACCACTGAAACATGTGATATGTGCATTTAACATTTTAGCAAACTCTGAGCTATTTTGATGCATTTTTGCCAATTTCTTAGTAGGAGTCAATAGTAATATTGATATTTTTCAATATAAATATTCTTTATTCTTTAATGATCAGGCCAGCAGAATTAGTAGTGTTCATTTCATGGTCCAGCTTAAAATAATGGTCAATTAAACAATCAGTCCTAATGCCAAGTCATTGTAGGGGTTAATATGTATTGAAAAATTAGCAAATGAAGGTCTGCTCTAGATATATGTTTACAATGTAGAATGTATACAGTATAAGGCATCACAGGTTGAATTATGTTCACTTTTCTTTGTATTAACACTGTGATTCTCTCATACTTACTTCTCACTTCTTTTTACATGCTGGATCGGTGTGTGTATGTATGTATGTTCATTAAATTATACAATGTCTTATTATCACACTTGTCATTGTGTCATAAATAGTGGTTGACCCATTTCTTCTGACATTAAGGGTATTATAGGGAGTTTGCCCCCTCCTTGTTGTACTAACTGCCTCTTCTGAAAACGTTTTACACTAGATGTTGGAACATTGCTGTGCAGATTTGATTGCATTCAGCCACGAGCAAGAGCATTAGTGAGGTCATGTACTGATGCTGGATGAATAGTTCTGGATCACAAACGCCACCCCAGCTCACCTCAGAGTATTAGACTGAGCGCCATCACTCCAGAGACCGCGGTTCCACTGCTCCACAGCCTAGAGGGGTGTGGCATTGGCAATAGAATGGGATACTCTGGATCAGCTGCACAAAGACCTAAGGTAACCAGATTATACAGTGTGGGTGTGCATTTGACAATGGCTGAATTCACTAAGAGAGCTGTCTGGATACTTCAGTGTATACTGTATATACACTAATATACAATAGCGTACAATCTTCTCAAGAGAGACTCCATACTATTTTTTGAAAGATTTATTAAAAACCACAAGGAACAAAAACAAATTACACGCTCTATATGACAGACAGTCAGGAAAGAAAAGACAATACAGTAGAGAACACAAAAATGTATTATGAAAAACATATATACAGTAATATATGTTGGTTGTTAAACATGTATAGACTAAAGACTACAATCAGCACACTTTTAACGCACTACACATTGTCTTGTACATAAGAAAAAAATCTGTAAGAAATTCATACCACTAACATCCAATAATATACATTCATAGAGAAAACATTTTAAAATACAATTTGTTATGTTGTAGTAGGAAGATGAAACATTTCTCTCAAGTAAAACTAGATCAAAAGAAATAGCTCTAGTACTGGCACAGCCAGCCCATATAATGGCCTTGGTCCCAGAGTGCTAAAGCACCACTGTACATGTTCTATTTATATGTATACAGTCTAATTCATGTAAAAACTCTTGAAAGGCTCTTAAAATATGTTACCAGAATAACAGAAACGTAACAACTGCAGGAAAGTGGTACTGTCCATCCAGTGAGTACACTTCAAAAGCCTCTTTGCAGCTTCAAATACAAATCACAGACATTACAGTCAATTCCCTGCCATTCAGTCTACACAACTGTGCATCTGAAGTAGAGGTCTGGCATGGAGTCGGATTGCTACAAGCTCCAGACGAGCGCTTTTAATCCTTCAGTGAGGTGAAGGGAGGCCCAGAAAGGGCAGCTGGTGGAATTATTCAGTGATGCTTTGCTTTGTAGCTCTCAAGAACCTTCTTCCACAGTCAGTTCCTGCAGCTGTTCCTGAATCGCGTCCACCTGTTTGGCTGTTTCCACATCACCTTCAGCCTCAGGCTCCGGCTCTATCTCCTCACGCCCGTTGGCCAGGTTTTCCGTGCTCTCGTAGCAGCCTGAGTCACGTGGCATATCAGCCTTCTCCTCGGGCCTTTCCTCATCTTCATCAGACTCTCCCTCGGCTGCCAAAAAAAAACAGAGATTTCACTTAGCGGCCAGTGAGGTTGTCATGGTAGCAGAATTTTGACTTGATAAAAAGTGTAGTATCACAATGCTCTTGGACAAAAACTAAAAACACATCTGAATGTCCAGTGTTTATAGGACTGAATAGAGTTAAATATCAAATTGTTATAGTTTACTTAACTATTCTGATTTTTTAATTCAGTGGGTTTTTTGTTAACACAAAACTCTCCAAATGTTAAACAAGTCATACACAAATAAGTAGCACTCATTTAAATGTGGCCTCTTTGTGTTCTGAAGGAAACAGAGAGTACATACAATATAGTCTAACATTCAATCCTTTATATTGAAAAAGCTCATAGCTTACATTTTTCTTGTATTTAATTTTATTCCCCTGAGGTCCACTTCATGATGAATCTTGATCATTTTCCAACCACTTCTTATATCTTGTAATTAAAGAGGCTGTTTTTGATACTGTATCTTTAAGACTGATGCATGTAAATGACACCTATTCTGATTGGCTGCCTTGTATTGTGCCTTCAAAAAGCAGTCCAGACTGAAATACTACTTGTAACTTCAGCATGAATGGGCAGGGCTAAACTGAATAGGTAAATGCACTGTTTTTTTGGTGACATTACAAAAATCACTAAATTCAAAACAAGCTGTTTTTGCAGTTTGGTCTCCATACATAGACTAAATGGACGGGTGGAGTGAACGGTTTGTTTTCAAACTTTAATAATGTTTACAGACAACATTAAAAAAGGGGCAGTCGTGGGCTCGAGAGGTCGCCGGTTCAAACCCCTGAGCCGACAGTACATGACTGAAGTGCCTTTGAGGAAGGCACCTAACCCCCAACTGCTCCCCGAGCACCGTGGATAGGGCTGCCCACCACTTAAGGCAAGTGTGCTTACTGCCCCCTAGTGTGTGTGCATTCACTAGTGGGTATGTCATGTGTTTCATGCCGCAGATGAGCTAAAATGCAGAGGTGAAATTTCCCTGTTCTGGAACTTCTTAACTTAAAAACTTTTATCTAAAAGAAATCAAGGCAAATTCAGTTTCCATGACATAGAACATAACATGCAAAATGGATTATACCTAATTTCTAAGAGTGTAAGGTCAAATATATTACTGAATAAAACTTTCATTACCATGCCTACACATTGGAGTCAAATAGGCAGGAGCAAATTGATATGCTTATCAGCAGAATGCACCATTGAAGTAGTACTAGACTATTTTAAATAGCTTCAAGAACTGAAAGCTAAAAGTACTGACTTTTATTAAACTCATCATGTCGTTGTACTGAAAACATACAGGACTATTGAAACGTTCATAACTAGCTGCCAGACTCCTGCTTATTGGTTTCTTGCTCCACATATTCCCACAGTCTTTTACTGAAACAGCCCCCCGGAGACTTGACACGAGAACGTTTATAGAATGCTAAACTTCGAATAAGCAGGACACGGTCAACAGGCAGCGGGCTGTCCAATTAGCAGTGTGAAACATGTTGGTGTACATGACCGCTGGGCTTCAATCCAACCATGCAGCAATGAGCTTAACAAGGAAAGAGTGCAAAGTGGGAATATTCAAATTAAGGCTAATGAACTGCTTGAAAGAAAGACCGAAATATGCATCCAAGGACTAAAGTATATTTCCAACAAGCTGGCTTGCTGGCAGTAGCACTGTGTGTGGAATATAAAAGCAACAAAATCAAACAACTGTGAACAGTGTTTCCTTCTTAATACTGCTGAGGCATTCAGCCCTAGCTGCTCTTACATGGACTTTAGCTTCATCTAGCCTCATGGCACCATCCCAAGTGATAAAATCATTCTACCTCACTGGAAAGACTGCTAAGGTTTCGCCTACAGTTTGATTATTAAAAGAGAAACAAAAATGGACGTACAGTCATGAAGCAGTTCGGCAGCTGTCAGTATTTTCGCACGCTGTTCAGGGTCTGTGATGTTGAGCTCGTTCAGGTGAGATTCCTTCAGCCCTCCAAAGTCCTCCAGACTCTGGAAACCATGCATGGAGAGAAGATTTCCAAGCTCCTGGACACACAAAGAAGTCAACCAACTGTTAACAGTGTTACCACCGCAGTGTGATTCATGAACTATTAAACTGCAGTGCAATGAGTTTCCAGTTTATTAGGTATTTTAGGTGCACTTTCAGTGGGTTTATACTGTAGCCCATCTGTTGATGCACAATTCGTTATCCACCATCTACCCTGTCCCTCAATGAAAAAGGACCACCATAGGACCACTGACCAGATATTATTTGGGTAGTGGACCATTCTCAGCACAGCAGTGGTACTGATATGGTAGTGGAATGGCTGTGTGTGTGTTGTGGATATGAGTGTATCAGGCATCAGGCATTTGTTGCTGAGTCAAAATTAGTCCACCAAGCAAAAATATCCCCCCAACAGCTGTTCTGTAGTGAAACCGACCACAGATGAGAGGAAAAAAATGATCCACAGTCTCTAATGTTTACCAACAAGTCATTCATCAAATTTCTGAATCTAAACCCTCTGAGTATCTAGCAGCTAAATTAACAAAGCTGATGTGAATCCAAATAGTTAACACTTCACTTGAGTTGTCATGACAGCTTTTGTTCAGTAACAAAGTCATATTGTAACAGAGTCATATTACCATTACCGGCAGTTGTCATACGTCATAATGTTTATGCTTATGTCACATACTTATCTAACTTCAAATGCGTACTGTAGTTAGCTGTGTAATCTAGTTAGCCGTCATGACATCAAACATTACAACATGTCATGACAATTAATAGCAATGGTAACATGACACTGTTTTATTACTGGACTCAATCTGTCGTGACAAGCATATGGCATCTGCCATGACATCTTTATGGCACTTGAGATTCAGAATCAGTGTATATAATGTAATTGTACACTGGTGATGAGTGGAAGCTTACAGTGAGGCCGATCCTCTCCAGAACCTCCTCTAGGGTTTTGGGTTTGGGTTTGTTACGACGACCCTGGCTTTGACGCCTCTTCCTCTTCGGCGGCGTGTCCTCCTCTGGTAGCACAGTGACGTAGATGAACTTGAAGGAGCCCACTTTGTTATTGAGTTTACCGGTCCATGTGCCAACGGGTGGTTTCTCAATGATCTGGATGATATCCCCTTTCTGTGTAGCAGACAGCACAAATCAGTACTTCATACCAAAATACAAACCTTTTTCAACTTCTTTTCAATAAAGGCTTCTTGGATGAGGACAAATGTAGAAAATGATTCTATGTGCATGCCTAATGCTAAATGAATACATTTTACATACGTCCTGGATATCTACAAATACCTTTTGATATCTTGTTTATAATATTTAAATCTACATTCTGTGAGCTATTGTTGTATATAAAATACCAAAACTGATTAATAGGTCCAGTGATTTCATACTTCTGAACTGCAGGCTGTATGATAGAAAGAATCTGACCTGCAGTTTGAGAGAGTCGATGTCATAAGGGCTGGGGGTGAAGTCGGTGTGGACGAGGGCTCTGCCGCAGAAAGGTCCTGTG